AAAAAAAAAAAAAATCAATTTTGGTCCGTTTATTGTCTAACGTCATTTTTTGTTACACTAATTTTCTTCTCATTAATAATAATATGTTGTTGGCATTTGTATTACTATTGGGACACTATCGGGAATATTGTTGATTATTTATGGGATTAATGTCCAAAATATAATACAACTTGCAACATAACGTACTGTTTTTTACGAGTAATGTAAAAAAATGATTTGCAACATAACATACTGTTTTTTACGAGTAATGTAAAAAAATAATTTGCAACATAACATACTGTTTTTTACGAGTAATGTAAAAAAATGATACAAATAATTGCAACATAACGTATTATTATCGATTAACAGAAAATTAGTGTACAAAAAAAGAACTTTATACAAGTAAACGGACCAGAATTGAAAATTTCCTTATTATTATTATTATTATAAGTGAAGAAAAGAGAGAATGTTATTGTTACCCAGGATAATATGGGGTGGGGATAAGAAAAGCTTCACCAGGCTCAGCAAGGCAAAACATGAGCGCTTCATTAGCTGAAGTTGCACCCGCTGTGAGTACAAGCTTGTTGGCCTCAAATTTCACCTTGTTTTGTCTTATTTTACTAGTGTACTCTCCTAATACCTTATTAACACAAACAAAAAAAAAAAATAAATAAATAAAATAAAATAAAAGTATCCTTTTTTTGAGACAATTAACAATAAAATAATAACACCCAAAAAAAAAAATCAATATATGTAATATATACTTGTTATTACCTTCTTAAATTCAGGCAAACCACGATAATCCTGGAAGAGAGCCAACTCCCTGAACATGGATCCACCCGGCCTTTGCTTAAACCACTCGTTCGCCCGATTTTTCGTATACCATGATTCCAGATGATCAAAAGAAAGCTATATCATGTACATTCCATAAATATTCTAGTTAATCACATTATTATTATTATTATTAAGGTAGATATATATGTACATCCCATAATTTTATGGTCCCGTTAAGGAACTATTCTGTCGGGGATTTGTAACCATTAGATCAACTATCTACGACAGTTATATGATAATCTAACGGTTACAGATATATCCCGACGGAATAGTTCTGTAACGGGACTCTGTTGCATTTTCCTGTATCGTATATGTACCTGATTTTCAGCGAGGCCCATCTGAATAATCCCGGAAGGATTATGAAGAGGATGGTAAGGGTTCTTCTCGTACTCTTGCCATCCTAAGAAGTAGGAAGAATCTTGGCCGTGTGAGTTGCATGTTATTTTCCTTGACAACATTATCTTTTATTAAAACCTTTGAGGAGACTAAGTTATGAATATGCCAAAATGTAGAGACAGAAGTTGTCTGAGCTGGTGAGGTGTAAAATTTTTGCAAAGGTGTCTGTATTTATAGGGAAAAATTAAGGTCCCGTTAGGAACTATTTTGTCGGGGTTTGTAACTGTTAGATTATCATGTAACCGTCATAAATAATTAAAATAACAGTTACAAACTCCGACAAAATAATTTCGTAACGGGATTGTAGCATCTCCCGTATTTATACAGGAGAATGGATAATAATATTGGATCCACACAATTGCCCGACAATTGCATGGCAAGGACGGTGAAAGTGAATGGATATATATTTTTTTTTTTCTTACTTTTTTTTTTTGTTTTTTTTTTCTTCTGTGTAAGACATTAAATGCAGTTGTTATATTGGACTTTGTTGGACCAATGTTTGACAAAAGTAGACGAGCAGTCAGTCTGCTTAGCAGCAGGCGCACTTGTACATGATGATGAACATTGACAAGAACACAAAATATATATATAACAAGGAAAAACAAAGACAGTAGTAATTAAAGATAATATTTCGAATATATAATAATTATTAATATTTGAGTAGTATAAATTGTTGCAATTAAACGTGAGCGTGAGTTAGTGGCTTTTTATTGCCATTAGTTAATTATTTTTAATTTCGTTACGTTTATAATTTTTTATACTGACATACAAGTTTATTTTGGATATATATATTTTTTTTTCACTTTAAATTAATTACATATATAACCATGATTAATACTGAGATTAACCAATTTACTCCATTGTACCCAAATTTAGATCAATTAATGATTGATATTGACTAATTTATTTTATTGTACCAAATTTTAAATTCATTAAGTATAACAATGATAATTATTGGAATTATATTACAACAGAGTATAATCATAATAATAACGTAAAAAGATGACAGTAAATGCATATACATTAATTAAACTAACCAATTTAAACGCCATAATACAAGATTAGAACTTTATAATTCGATGAACATATTCTTCAAATTTGAGAAAAACGAAAATAAAACTACTAAGAATCTAGATAGTCAAAACGGGTTTCTACCTCAATCCAGTTTTGAACAAAGTATCATCGTTGACAATAAGCACGAAATTGACTTCTAATTATCTTATTAAAGCAAAAAAAAAAAAGAAAATCATAAAATTTTATTGATATTTTTATGAATGAATATTTGAGTTCCTAAAATTTAATGAAGATAAATCTCATGGTTTAAGTTATATCAAATGTTTTTTCTTCTATAAACATATATATTTATAATATTGTATTGTTGCATGAATAGACAATCTTGAGTCTATATATACATATATATATATATATATATATATATATAGGCGATTTAATTTGATCTATTTTTCACATAATTGCATAGATAATTTCCCTAAAATATTGTCCATGAATTTTAAAAGTCTTTAAAATATTGTTCACCTAAACTTCTATGATCAGCATATTAGACAGCATGTGACATGTAACCATCAAACATATAGTAACGTTTGTTGGTGATTACTAGTTCGTTCTGACTATATTATATAACCCATTAATGTCAAATCTTGCTCCCCATTTCATTTCCTTTTAATTATCATTTTCTGTATACCCTTTTATATATATGTAATCGCTCACTCTATAGATCACGTAATGTGCCTATAGTGACGAAAATTGTGAGTTTTCATAATTACTTCACTTCTGTAAAGTCAAGCCCTTTTATTGATTTGATGTATGCATCTTATTTATTTCACAATAACTTTTTGTGATATTTTGATAAAAAAATTATGAATATATATATATATATATAATATAATATTTAATATATAGAATATGAACTTAAAATGAAGGTAAAATATAATGTAGTTAGTTATTAATTATAATATCATGCATAATTTTTATAACAAACATACGAAATATTTAAATTAAAAAAATAATAAATAATATAACATATTAAAATAATATGCCCCCGTCTTCTTCTTCTTGTATGAAAGCATAGTAAAATAATTTAATTTTTTTTCGGATACTAAAATAAATGAAACTTCCTCCATATATGTGTGGATCACTATTCGATTTTTATAGTTTTTTTAACCAATATAGGTTGACTCAAATGATAAACAGTTTGATGTCCTTTAAGCAAGATCTCAAGTTCGAGTCATTGTGGATGCAGAAAACCTTTGTTGGGAGATTCACCCACCACTGCCAGGTGTGCGACCCGGATCAACCAATGGATTAGTCGGTGCATAGCTCCGGATACCGTGGCTGGTTAAAAAAAAAACAAATTATATTTTTTTTGCCACATATGTAGGCCAAATTATATATACAATGCTCAATTTTAACCTTATTTGGTGGTCGGAGTTTAATCCAAAATGTTGAGGACATATAAAAAACAGCTGCACGATTGAACTTTCAAACTCATCATCCCTTTTGAATAGTGCGCAGTGGAATTAGTGAAAAAATGTCCATGCAGAGAAAGAAGGCAATAATGTAGCTCTTACTTAGACCTACTCCAACCGATACCCAAAACGCAAAATTTGAGGTAAAAACTCTCCAACCGAACAGCAAACTCATACGCAAAATGGGTTTTTTACTTTCTCTCTCCTCCTTCAAACGCAAAAATGCGTTTGGACCCAAAAAATGCGTATGAACTTTTTAAATTGCACTCAACTCCAATTTTGTTTCTTTTATTACATATTGATCAAGATTATGAACAAAATTCATACCTATATTTGTACATATTTTTATCTAACTTCTTTACACATAGTAAAACACTATTAATATTTTGTAACACTATCCCAATATACCCCACATATTATATACATAGTATATAATAATTATGTTTAATCTTTTATAAGTTAATTTTACACATTATAGTAATTATATATATTATATTTAATAAATATATTTAGGAATTATTGTTAAGTTAAATACTGTTTTATTTATTTTTATTATATATTATTAGTATTAAAAAAAGGTACAAATCATATTATATTAAGATTAAAAAGGCTACTAATTTAAAAAATAAAAAAAAGTAATAGTTTTTAAAATGTGAATATATGCGCTAGACCATATATGGTCTAGAGTGTAAATTTGTACTAATACAATGAAAAAAGTAACAGTTTTTAAAATGTGAATATATGCGCTAGACCATATATGGTCTAGAGTGTAAATTTGCACTAATACAATGAAAAAAGTAACAGTTTTTAAAATGTGAATATATGCGCTAGACTATATATGGTTTAGAGTGTAAATTTGCACTAAATCATATATTTTCAAAAATAAAAGTTTTGATTCAATCGGTACATAAAATGTATATGTATCTTCTTCACTTTTGAAATGAAGATGTAGTTAAAAGACAAATGTAGGATAAGAAAATTAAATAGTAAAATATTTAAATAGTTAATATTCCCAGAATATTAATTATTTGTGTGGTGAAATTTTAATTTTTAATGAATATTTATTTCTCCGATTTTATTATCTATAATTAATTTTAATTACATAAAGTTCAAATTGAATTTAAAATAATAGTGTGGTTTAATTTGTAAAGTTGTGAAATATGTGGGTAGTATTGAAAAGTTATAAAAGTTGGTGTAAAAGAGAATATTCTTTTGGGTTTGAGAATGAGTTTTTCGATTGGAGATGAATTACTGCAAAATGGGATAGTTACTGCAAAATGGGTTTGAGTTTGGGTTTTTCGGTTGGAGATGGCCTTACAACGGAAATCCCATATCCCTTCCCCTAGTCAACAAAGATCTTGATTGACCATAGGCCAATTTCAAAACTTTGCACATGAATTATTCAACTGTCTTTTATTTTCTTTTTAGATGTCTTTTTATTTTCTTTCTCGGGAGTTATCATTATTCTGCGTCACTACAAGAAGATGATGAAATTCCAACATAAATATATGTTTTAATGAAATTCCAACGGCAATTTCAATGAACATTCCGATTCAATTATTTTTGTTGGAAGTTTTCAGACTAACGGAAATTCTAACAAAAATATTCTATTGTAATAAGTTTTCCATTGGAACTTTCGTTGGATTTTGATGATTCAACGGTTGAAATATGAGTGTAAATAAAAATTTTCAACAAAAATTGTATAATCCAACAATAAAAAACCGTTGGAGAAATAATTGTTGGAATTGTGAAATTCCATCTAAATTTAAATGGAAATATCATTCAAAGAAAATTTTCGTTAGAATTATTCTAACTCAATCTATACAATAAGAATATCTATTGGAATTTATTACTGTGCAATTTTACGTTTAAAGATAACGGGCCGATATAGGAGGCTTAGACATGTATCCACCATCATGATTCTTGGTTGCCCGTTGAACAGATCCTCAAAACCGCTCTAGTGCCCATTGAAATTGTGGGAGTATAAGCTATAATTGGGCTAAATATTTGAAGGAGTACACTTAGATGTAAGTTAACACAATTGCAAAAGCAAGGTTCTACAAAACGTGAACCTTCAGGGGAGCATCCCACTCCCCCTTCGGAACTCTTTCATAT